GGGCCAGGTGCACCTCGGGGCCCTCGGGCATGCTGCGGCAGGGGCACAGCGCGGGGAGGCGTCAGCTCTACCTTCCCCATCTCCCGCCTCCCGCTCCGCCCCTCTGTCCCTCCTCCTGAGACTACAGGGAAGCCATCCGAAGTAGCTGTCCCACGTAGGGTCCCTCCCGGGTCTGAATGGGTCTGGGCCTCTCCCCGGCCCGCAGGGCGCAGCAGTTGCGAGCACCGTGTGCAGCAGCACCCACTGGGCAGGGCAGGGCAGGGCAGGGCCAGGCCCGGCCCGGCCCAGGCCCCGGCCCGCCCCGACCCGGCCCAGGGCACGCTGCGTCTGAGCGGGAGCCAGGCCCCCCAGGCTGCCAGCCGGGAGGTGCAGGCGCCCCGGAGGGCCTCGCGAGTCCGAGTCTGAGCCCTCGCCAGGAACCCGCAGGCCGTATTCGCTTCCAGCCCCGGGGGCCACACTCACCTCTGCCTTCGTGCTCCCCACCTGGCCGCTCTCCCCTAGCCCCAAGATTTTGGGGGATCGGAGGCGACGGTGTGTGCTGGGAGACGGGGACTTTCACCCAGGCAGAGGCCCGACCGCCCCCTTCCCCACTCGGCGCTGCCTGGGCAGAGGACCCAGAGGGTTTGTTTTTTTTTGGGAAAAGGTGAACTTCCAAAGTCCTGGTTTTGCGAGGGGCGGAGCTCTGTGGCCCGCCCTCCTCTCCTGGCCCCTCCCGCTCCCGGCTGCCACCCTGTCCTGGGTTAACCTGGCTCCCTTCCTCCCCAGAGCCCCCAGTCCCTTCTTCTCGGCTCCTCCGCTGCGCACACCGCGTCCACCGACCCGCGCCCGGGGCTCCTGCGCTGGCCACCCGCTGCACCAGGAAGGGATTAATGCCGGCTGGGCGCGCCGAAGAGCACAGCACGCTGGGAGGCAGCCGCGGTGGCCGCCAGGCGCCTTCTGGGAAGCGTAGTTCCTCCAGGACGAGACAGCGGCTGTTCCGGGTAGGGTCTCCGAAGTGGGGGTGCCCAGAGTGTTGGGCAGGATCTGGGGCACTGACCTGCCAGGGCTGTGACCGAGAAACCTGGCTTCCCGCTGCTCCGCACGGATGGGATCCGAGGTGTGCTCTGAGGTCGCGGGTCGCAGCTGTTTGTGCTGCTAGGGGAAGTGGCCTAGCTAGTCCCAGCAGGAAACAGCAGCGACGTCCCCTTGCAGAGGTGCCTGCAGCTGTGAGCAGGGCGCACAGGTGCTCGATAAACGCAGGCCCAGGGGACCTGGTGGTGGCTCTAAGTGTCAACGCATAGGCAGACATGCACATAAACATCCCCGCGGCCGGTGACAAATGCAGACCAGCCACAGAAACCAGCTGAGAAGGAGAAGCCAGTGCAGATGGAGAGTGGGGGAGCCTGTCTGAGGGGACAGTCTGCGGTGACAGGCTGGCAGGTTAGAAGGAACCAGTTTGCACAAAGTGGAGACAGGACACCATGGCAGGGGAAGGCAGAGGCACAGGTGGGAACCAAGTGGCCCATTGAAAGGACTCGGAAAGCCTGTGTGGCTGGGGTGGCTCTGGAGCCGAGGGCAGAGACCAGGAAGCAAGGTCCAGGTGGGGACAGGGGCTGCCAGCCTCTGTGAGGGTCTGTGGTTCATGCAAGGTGCAGCCAGCACTGGTACCTGCCGGCCCCAGGATGCGCCTCCCCCATGCTAGTTCTTTCTGCGTCCTGTCTGCTCTGCGTCCCGACCCTTTGCACGCATCTCCATAAAGCCTGGAGTGTTTCCATGCCTAGCAGGGCTAACGGTAACTGTTTTCAGGACGAGGTCTGGCAGTGTCCAGATCCTCCTGCCTCAGCCCAGCTGGGAGCACAGGTGCGCACCCCTGCACCTGGCCATCAGCTGGGACTGGGAATAGAACCTAGGTCTCCCATGTGGTCCCAAAGTACAGAGATAGCAGGTGCCACTGCCACTGTGGCTGGGCCCACAATAACTTCTCTTTTTTCTATTTGTCAATGGGCAGATGCACTTGCTAGAGTTGGAGATGGAGAAGGCACCCCCCAAAGGGCTGTGTTCACACCCTAGTCCCTTCTCCATTTGTCCATCCTGTTAGTACTTTGGTCACACATGCACACGTGCCTGGCGTGTTTTTCAGGCTTTTTGTACCACGGTTAGCCATGTGGGGTCCGGGTCTCTTAACCACAAGGATACAGGGGCTATCCCGTCCATACTTTTTTTTTGAGAGACAGAGATTTTTGCTCTAGGTGTGTGCACTCACTGGAGAGACAGAGACAGAGAGACAGAAAGCAAGAAATCACTCTCCTAGGGGGGATGGTCACGCCACAATCCCTACTCCTCCTCGGGATCTTGGGCATGCACATGTCCAGCATGAGGTTTAAGTTGCCAGGACGCAAACCATAGGAGACTGGCAACGTAACCATGTTGCCATCTGCTGTTCCCGTCAATAACTTTTTCATGTAACCTAGTAACTAGTCCACATGCAAATTTCCGGAAGTGTCCACAAATTGTTTCCTATGCTTGTTTGTTCAAGGAAAACTCAACCGAGGGTGATAAGTGTCTTTCATAAGTTTGGCAGGGACCAGCAGGAGGCATGGTTGAGGCGCTGGACATTCCCATATGGCCAACCACAGTTTGAGTCCTGGACCTGGTGGCTTGCTTTCTCACTTTCTGTTTCTCTTGCTCTCTGTGTCTCTCTATGGTCAAATTAAAAATAAATGAATAAGTAAAACTTAAAAAAAAAAAAAAAGTTTGGCACCACCGTCCTCCCTCCCACATCTCACCCCCTTGTCTTGATCTTCATGATAAAACATCCAGGCTAGCTGGGGCTGGAGGTAGAGGCTCCATCCCATTCTAGGTGCCCAGAGGCTTCCCAGGGTGTCACGGAAGTGTTCTTCCGTTTGTAGTTTCCCCTGCACCCTGAGAGTTAGCTCTCCAGGCCTGGCTATGCACATCCATGGGCACTTCGGGGGTGGTGGCTGCCTGTGCACATCCCTCTGCAGGTGTCCCCCTCAGCTGCGCTGAAACTCGTCCAGCTGGAGCCGGCGGCAACCCGACTGGGCGGCCTCAAGTGCCGAGTCACCAGCAGGCGGCTTCCTCGTGCTGGCATTCCCGTCTTGTCGCCATGGTCTTTTCGACATGACTGGATGTACTTTCCCCCTCGGACTGGGATAGTTTTTCTTCCATGCTAGCTTTTGTCCCCCACGGCTGTTTAAAATGTCTACTTTTCAGTCTCAGAAATTCTACCCGTGTTTCTTGGTGCGTTTGTCTTGTTTACTGCGTGGGGTTAGAAAGGCTGCTGTTTTTCCCTGTCAAGTGTGTCCTCCCTTGTCTGAATGCAGGTATAATTTACATACAGTAACCCTCATCCTTTTTTAGAAAGGCCTCGGAAAGCCGGTGTGGCTGGGGTGGCTCTGGAGCCGAGGGCAGAGACCAGGAAGCAAGGTCCAGGTGGGGACAGGGGCTGCCAGCCTCTGTGAGGGTCTGTGGTTCATGCAAGGTGCAGCCAGCACTGGTACCTGCCGGCCCCAGGATGCGCCTCCCCCATGCTAGTTCTTTCTGCGTCCTGTCTGCTCTGCGTCCCGACCCTTTGCACGCATCTCCATACAGCCTGGGGTGTTTCCATGCCTAGCGCTGGGAATAGAACCTAGGTCTCCCATGTGGTCCCAAAGTACAGAGATAGCAGGTGCCACTGCCACTGTGGCTGGGCCCACAATAACTTCTCTTTTTTCTATTTGTCAATGGGCAGATGCACTTGCTAGAGTTGGAGATGGAGAAGGCACCCCCCAAAGGGCTGTGTTCACACCCTAGTCCCTTCTCCATTTGTCCATCCTGTTAGTACTTTGGTCACACATGCACACGTGCCTGGCGTGTTTTTCAGGCTTTTTGTACCACGGTTAGCCATGTGGGGTCCGGGTCTCTTAACCACAAGGATACAGGGGCTATCCCGTCCATACTTTTTTTTTGAGAGACAGAGATTTTTGCTCTAGGTGTGTGCACTCACTGGAGAGACAGAGACAGAGAGACAGAAAGCAAGAAATCACTCTCCTAGGGGGGATGGTCACGCCACAATCCCTACTCCTCCTCGGGATCTTGGGCATGCACATGTCCAGCATGAGGTTTAAGTTGCCAGGACGCAAACCATAGGAGACTGGCAACGTAACCATGTTGCCATCTGCTGTTCCCGTCAATAACTTTTTCATGTAACCTAGTAACTAGTCCACATGCAAATTTCCGGAAGTGTCCACAAATTGTTTCCTATGCTTGTTTGTTCAAGGAAAACTCAACCGAGGGTGATAAGTGTCTTTCATAAGTTTGGCAGGGACCAGCAGGAGGCATGGTTGAGGCGCTGGACATTCCCATATGGCCAACCACAGTTTGAGTCCTGGACCTGGTGGCTTGCTTTGGCATGCACATGTCCAGCATGAGGTTTAAGTTGCCAGGACGCAAACCATAGGAGACTGGCAACGTAACCATGTTGCCATCTGCTGTTCCCGTCAATAACTTTTTCATGTAACCTAGTAACTAGTCCACATGCAAATTTCCGGAAGTGTCCACAAATTGTTTCCTATGCTTGTTTGTTCAAGGAAAACTCAACCGAGGGTGATAAGTGTCTTTCATAAGTTTGGCAGGGACCAGCAGGAGGCATGGTTGAGGCGCTGGACATTCCCATATGGCCAACCACAGTTTGAGTCCTGGACCTGGTGGCTTGCTTTCTCACTTTCTGTTTCTCTTGCTCTCTGTGTCTCTCTATGGTCAAATTAAAAATAAATGAATAAGTAAAACTTAAAAAAAAAAAAAAAGTTTGGCACCACCGTCCTCCCTCCCACATCTCACCCCCTTGTCTTGATCTTCATGATAAAACATCCAGGCTAGCTGGGGCTGGAGGTAGAGGCTCCATCCCATTCTAGGTGCCCAGAGGCTTCCCAGGGTGTCACGGAAGTGTTCTTCCGTTTGTAGTTTCCCCTGCACCCTGAGAGTTAGCTCTCCAGGCCTGGCTATGCACATCCATGGGCACTTCGGGGGTGGTGGCTGCCTGTGCACATCCCTCTGCAGGTGTCCCCCTCAGCTGCGCTGAAACTCGTCCAGCTGGAGCCGGCGGCAACCCGACTGGGCGGCCTCAAGTGCCGAGTCACCAGCAGGCGGCTTCCTCGTGCTGGCATTCCCGTCTTGTCGCCATGGTCTTTTCGACATGACTGGATGTACTTTCCCCCTCGGACTGGGATAGTTTTTCTTCCATGCTAGCTTTTGTCCCCCACGGCTGTTTAAAATGTCTACTTTTCAGTCTCAGAAATTCTACCCGTGTTTCTTGGTGCGTTTGTCTTGTTTACTGCGTGGGGTTAGAAAGGCTGCTGTTTTTCCCTGTCAAGTGTGTCCTCCCTTGTCTGAATGCAGGTATAATTTACATACAGTAACCCTCATCCTTTTTTAGACTGGGTTTTGACAAACATGTGCAGTCAAGTACCGGCCGCCACAGCCCGAGACCACACGCTGTGGTGCCGTCCGCGGGCGCTGAGATGTGGCCACTACCTCCTCTACCTACGGAGAAGTGGGTTTTTAAAACGTGCTACACACACACACACACACACACACACACTCGGTAATTTTATTTTTAAACTTTGTCAGTTGGTGTGTGTGCAACTGGCAAAGTTTAAAATGTGTCTCCCAAGAGAGAGACAGAGAGAGGGGATGGAGAAAGACCCCCACGGGGGATGACCACGCCACACTCCTTCTCCACTTCTCCGTCCTTCAGGGAGCTCGCACACACGTGTGCTGCCATGTTTCTTCAGCCACCACATCTGGGATGCGATCTGTGTGGTTGGCCACTTGGGATCCAGCTGCCCTCACCCCCATGCCAGCAGCTGGCCCCACCCAAAGTACTGTCAGTTTTTGTGAAAGGAAACCCTACCACGTGCGACGCCGTGGACATCCCTGAGGACACATGCTGAGGGACACAGCTGGTCACAGAAGGACACATGCCTGCATGGCTCTCCTTATGAGGCACCGAAAACGGGCAGACAGGCAGCGAGAGGATCGTGGGTTGCCAGGAGCCCGAGGGGACCTGGGAGTGGCTACTCAGCTATGCAAGAGCGTGAGTCCTCGTGAGTCCTCGGTCGGCAGAGGGTGGTCTCTCGTGGGGACCTTACTACACGGCCCAAGGGAGTAGGGGAACAGGTCTCCCCACCCCGTTGTGCCCTGGTGCCAGTGAGGGGACATCCGAGTCCTCACCCCGCTGTGCCCTGGCACCTGTGAGGGGACATCCGTGTCCTCACCCCGCTATCCCCTGGTGCCAGTGAGGGGACATCTGTGTCCTCACCCCGCTGTGCCCAGGCACCTGTGAGGGGACATCTGTGTCCTCACCCCGCTGTGCCCTGGTGCCAGTGAGGGGACATCATGTGTCCTCACCCCCGGCTCTCAGCATCATGCACCGGGGTCTCTCCACGTGGAGGCCTGCCAGCGCCTGCCTGCCGGAAGGAGCAGCTTCGGCCGTGTGGCCAGCCCAGCATGTGTGCCCATTTACCAGAGAGGGACACTTGGGCCCTCCGAGTGGGCTGAGTCTTGGGTACCACATGGAAACTCCCAGCTTCACGTAGGCTTTTCCCTGATGGTTTCAGCACCGTGACGATCCTTGCCTGGATCACAGATTTAGTTGGGAGTTACACAGTGGGGACTTCCAACGAAAACCAAGTGGGTCCAAATGGTGACGTCTGTCTGTCATTCTTGCAGTAGCCGCGCCCGTGGCACTCGACCTCGCTGAGCGGGTCCGTCTGTTATCCCCAGACACCAAGGACGAGAGCCTTCATCCGTCCCGACCACCAACTCACAGACCACAAATTCGGCGCATCCGATGGTGACAAAAATGAAGGGTTTGGAGGCCGACAGGTGGCGTGGTGGTTAAGGGCATGGGACTCCCACATGGCTGACAGCAGTTCGAGTCCCAGACCTGGCGGCTTGCTTTCTCACTTTCCCTCTCTCTCTGGTCAAATTAAAATAAATGAATAAAGTTAAAATAAAATAATTAAAAAAAAACTGACAGGTTTGGGTTTTTGTGGGAGGGGTTGGCTTTTTTTTTTATTTTTAGAATATTATATGAACCCACTTTTTTTTCAAGTTTATTTCTTCCATGAGAGAGAGAGACAGACAGGCACCCCCAATGGTCTTCACGCCGATCCAGCCCAGCTGACGGTGTGCACGGGAGCCCTGGCCAGGAACCCTGGCCCTCTGGGAGGGTCCAGTGGCACTGCCACTCAGCCATCATCCAACTGCAGATGCATGGATTTTTACTGATCTTTTTAAAATTTGGTGAGAGGCTGTGTGCACTCTAGAGACAGAGAGAGGGAGAGAGAGAAAGCAGCCCCGACAGGCAGGGCCGAGCCCAATCCCTTCTCCATTCCTCCGTCCTGCCAGCATTTGCCGGGTGTGCTTCCAGCTGTCGGCGCTGGGACGCAGCCACGGGGGTCCCTCAACCACCAGGCTGTCGGCCGGCCCGAGGGCCGCGCTGCTGTGCACAACCCCCTCCTGCTGTCTGTCCACTCGGCCTTTCCTCAGAGCATGCACTGGGGGCCATGAGCACCCACACCAGGCCACAGACCCGCTTGTGGGTGGGTGGGGGCATGGGCCCTTCTCTCCCAGAAGGCAGCTGGACAGGGAGCTGTAGGGGTTCTGGCACCAGGGAAGCTGCCTGCTGCCAGCCTGAACACAAGGCCAGCACAGGTGGGCAGAGCCCACACTGGCACTGGGCTCTCCAGGCAAGCCGCTTCCCTGAGGTCCTGCTCACTGGCGAGAGAGGGCGGAGGAGAGGGAGCGAGGGGTGGGCCAGGGAGGGCTGTGGCCCCGGAGTCTCAGGAAGAACCTGGATATGAACACCAAGACACCAGCCCAGGCTCCTGCACACTTCTGTTTATTCCTGTTCCCGGAGGCGGGTGGGAAGGCAATGTGGGGAGAGGCCTCAGCAGCCCCAGGCTGAATTGGCTAGGGGAAGCCAGGAAGACCAGGGCCCAGCACCCTAGAACTGGACGGCCCCTGGAGCATGGTCAGAGGGCAGCGGCTCTCACTGGCAGGGCGACTCTGCACAGCTGGACACCCTCATCTTCAGCCCAGGGAGCTCAGTAGGGCCTGAGCCTGCTTCAGTTCTGCAGGAGAGAGGTGGGCAGGGGGGGGCGGGCAGGGCACCGGCAGGGCGCGGGGGGGGCGCCCCTGTGGGTCCAGCAGAGCCTCACCTGCCAGGAGGAGCTGGAACCTGTCTGCCGAGAGGGACATGGCGATGGGTTGGGCTGCGGCCCCCGGGGCCGGGGCCACCTCTAGCCGCAGGTGCACCACAGGCTCCTCCACGGCCCGCAGCAGGCTGGAGCTCAGGGTGTAGTCCACCCGCCAGCCCACGCTGGACAGCTGGTTCACTGTGAGGGCACAGGGCGCTTGGTGTCAGAGTGGCCCCCACGACACACACCCTGGCTCACCCACATCCTCTGGCCCTGTGGCCTCTGAGAAGCTCCCGTCCCTCTGACCCAGGGCTGGAACAGGGCAGGCTCAGTGAGCAGGAGTCTGGTTATCGCAGCAGAACTCAGAGAAGAACCCTGGCCGGTGACATGGCCTCTCCCACTGCACGCCTGTGACTATGGGTACGCCCCAAGGACCGGTGCTCTGCGGCGTGGCCAGTGCACTCACCACGCAGGCTGCAGGCCCGCAGGTGCTCCTGCAGGGGGCCTTGCTTCTCCTCGTAACAGCGGCACAGGCTGGCCGCGTGCTCTGGGGACAGAACGGGGACAGCTGAGTGGGCGGTGCTGAGGCCGCTCTGAGGGCAGGGCGCAGGGCAGGGTTGCGAGGCCACAGGCCCCCACCTGGCGCCCCGGAGCCCGTACCTTTGGGCAGCCCCAGCTGCTGCAGCTCACTGGACAGGGACTCGCCGTCCACGCTGTGCTTGGCCGCGCTCGAGAGGATGAAGCTCAGCACTGCCACCGTGGCCTTCACGTCGCCCGACTCTGAGGGACCGGGTGGGGCCGGCTGTCACTGCAGCCCTGCAACCTCTGCTGCCTGCTGTCTTCAGCTCAGAGCCCCCAGGCCTCCGCAAGCCAGGGGACTGCTAAGCCTCCCCGGGGTGGCAGAGGACAGGTGGGCAGGACTGTCGCCATCACTATCCCTCACGCTCCTCCACTGAGACAGGTGAGTCACGGGGGCTGCTAGGAGGGGCCTGTGCCAGCTGCAGGCCAAGCCCCAGCTGCCGAGGCCTAGGACTCAGTGGTACTCACCAAACTTGGCATCAGCCGTGAGCTTCAGGATCTTCTCGTACTAGGGGGGGAAGGGAGCCTCAGAGGGTGCCGGGGCCCTGCCTGCTAGCCCATCACCCTCCCGTCCCTGGGGCTGGGAGAGGACGGGAGGTCAGGGCCTGGTGGACGGGAGGGTGGGGTCGGGGCCCACACTCACGTCAGCCCCCTGTCCCAGCAGCTCCCTCAGCACCTGGCCGCACAGCAGGCGCAGCTTCACGGAGGACTGCAAGGGAAGGCTCATCTCAGCCTCTCTGCAGGGGCCGGCTCAGAGAGGGCAGCGGGAGCCAGGGCCGCACAGCATGGCAGCACAGGCCCCGGCACTGAGGGCCCAACCCGTGTGTCCTTGCCACCCTCGCCCCAACGGTGCCCGCCTCCCACCCCCTGTGGACCCCAGTCACTCAACGATCCTGGCCAGTGTGCTGATCTCCGCTAGGACCCAGTCGGGACAGTCCAGGTCACCGCAGAACCGGAACCTCTGCAGGAGAGGGAGGGCCGAGGTGTGGCCAGTGCGCCCTCCACACGGCAGCTCAACAAGGCCATCCCCAGGATGGGTGTCCTCTGGCACGTGGACGCCATCAGCCAGCCGTGGAGAGCACTCTGCCTGATCACGTGACCACCATGCCGGGCACCCATGTGCGCCGAGCGCCTTCTCTGTGGTGGCTCCCTTTCTAAATGCTGGCACTGGGACTAGCAGATGGCGTAATGGCTATGTGGCTGGACTCCCATGTAGTTGACTGCGGTTCGAGCCCTGGACCCGGTGGCTTAAACTTACGCTGGGTACATGTATGTGCATGCCCAAGATCCCAAGAGGAGAATGGAGGGGAAGGGATTGTGGCACGGCCATCCCCCCAGGGGTGATTTCCCGCTTTCTGTCCTGTTTGCCCAGTGAGCACACATGCCCTATAGCAAAAAAAGCTCTAAAAAATATTTCTTTAAATGCTGGGGGGGCAGTAGGGAATACAGCAGAGTCCCTGTCCTCCTGGACCCGAGAGGCCTCTCCACTCCGTGGCTCCACCCTGCTCTCCCGCCCCTGCCCGGCCGTCTCCCTTCATCCAGGTGTCTGCTCCAGGGACGCCGCCTAGCCTTTCCGGAGCAGCCCCTCGTGCAGGAAACCTGGGAGCTGGTGGACAAGCTCAGGGGCTTAATCACAGAGCCGAGACCCAGCCTGGTCTGGCCTCCGCTGATGTGGCCTCAGTTTTCACAAACCTCCAGAGTCAACTCCCGAGCAAGCAGGGGTGAGGGGCAGCGACCCCCACCAGTCAAAAATCCGTAACTTCTGACTCCCCCCAGACAAAGCTGTTAAAACCGGATTAATAGCTGACCAAACTGATAGGTCAATCACCACACATTTTGGGAGGCTTTTGCTACAGAGTGCGTGCGCTTGCCAGAAAGACAGAGAGAGACAGAGACAGAAAGCAAGAAATCACCCCCCCAGGGGGGATGGCCAGGCCGCAATCCCTTCTCCTCCATTCTCCTCTCAGGATCTCGGGCACGCATGCATACGCGCCCAGCGTGAATTTTAGGCCATGAGGTCTGGGACTCGAACCGCGGTCAACTACATGGGAGTCAGAGACATAACCATTACGCCATGTGCTGGTCCCCATATGCTGTTATTACAGTGAAATAAGCTCAAGAAGATATCAGCACACGACAAGCAACATTTACTGTGCTGAGCTGAGGAGCTGCCGCGTCAGTCCTGACGGCAACACGCACATACACGGAAGGTGGCAGCTGGCACGTGTGCGACCCACACGCACAGCAAGTACGGAAAGAAAATGAGCTCCATGAGGTTAGTCGAGGTGTACGGCACTGGATGGAACAGAGAGACATTCAGCAGCCGTGCCGCCCCTTTCCCTGCCATGCGGTTGTCTGCGGAGCCCGGCGGTCCCTCTGCAGCCACCTGGGTTGATGGGGAAGGTCGGATCGATTTCAATTTTTCACACTGTGTACGTTTCCCGTAGTGAAGGGTAAAAGACAGGTACCTATGCACACGTTATGCACCCACGACAAACCTTCCTCTTCATTGTTTGGGTATTTCTAGGCTACGTGGTTTCTCCAAACCTTCCCAAATCTTCAAAACCTTTTCCAATGTATGTATTGAGAAAACCCCACAGGAATGTGGAGTCACACAGCTCAAACCCATGTTGTCCCAGGGTCAACTGCGTAGTCTTCCAGCTGGGTGGGGCGCACCGTTCCCAGGGCGCCCCCATCTCTGCCGAGTGTGTGTTCAGTTTCGCGTGAAGACGCACCCCCGTCCTTGCTTCCCCAGCCTGGTACAGGACAGGACCTCACCCGAGCCACCCAGGTTGCCATCATCCCAGGAAGGCCTCTTAACACCGTGCACCAGGGCAGCTGGGTATGGGTCCCCTCCCGGCTGAGGTCGCTGTGACTGGCACTGGCGTCTGTCCAACGAATGAATGAACGCCCCGTGGGAAGTCCCCACCCCAGCCACGCCTTCCTGGCTCTGGAAGGCGCGGAAGGGGTTCCTAACAGGGCGGACCAGCGCTGCTGCCCCATCCCCACGGGAGAGCTGGGGACATGAACACCTCTGGGCGCGCCTCTCGGGCCAGCGAAGGCCTAGAAGGACTCCCGCTGCGGGCAGGCCGGTTCCTGCCGGGGGCGGGTCCTTCCTCCCCGGCAAAAACCTCGGGGACTCCCAGCCGGCCGGACCTGTCGCACTCCGTGTGCTCGACTGCGGGGTGGTGGC